TTAGTGCTATTCACAATTGTGGAATATCAATGGTAGTGGAATTACATGATGATAAAGATGAGATATAAAGATTTTTTCACATAAACAAAGATCTTTTGTCATAGCACTGCCTTAGTAACCTAGCTTGGGCCCAAGGTGGCACATAGCCATGTTATAGTACTCTCTCTCCAAGCTCATTTGTAGGTTTATTTTTTGCAATGTCATCTCGATTAAGGATGCACCGATAAGCAAAATGACCGATTACCGATTAATCGGCCATGCATTATCGGCCAATACCGATTAATCGACCGATTAGTGTTAATAATTTATTGCATTAACAGTGTGAGATCCTGGAGTTAATTATACAGTTAATTATAATGTGGAAAAAACCTATTTTTCTCTACCTGGTATTTTCCATTTTTCTCGGGTCAGGTAAAGAAGAGATGATCGAATATCCTCTCAAAATCAACAATCTCTTCCTTTGTTTCTAAAATAAATCTCAACACTTAATTGTTGACGCATGGAAACTTCGACATTGTTTAAAAAGCTGAAGTGTTTCTGTGTTTAACAGAAACAAAATATATTTCTTTAACCGCTGATATTTGGGCAGCAACTACAAACAATTCTCCTTTTTTAAGTGTAACAGCCCACTGGTTGAAGGATGATTTTCAGCAGGAAAGAGCTGTTTTGCAAATTGTTTCCTTTGAAGGTTCCCACACAGCTACACGAATCAGTGAACAGTTAAAAATTGTTCATGAATAGTATAAGTTGACAAGTGATAAGATATTCTTAGTACTAAGAGATTCTGCAGCAAATCTGGTAGCTGGAATTAGGAATTGCAATTTAGAAGCATTATCATGTTTTATACATACGCTGCAGCTGACACTAAACGAATGCATATTTTCTAAACAGGATGTGAAAACTATAATCACAGTTAATAGAAATATTGTCACACATTTTAATCATTCTGCTGTAGCTGTAATCAAATTGGAAGGTTTGCAAGAAAAGTTAGGTTTGCAGAAACACAAATTAATTCAAGATGTTTTTTCTTGCTGGAATTCTACATACTACATGTTGGAACAGCAAAAGGTACTTGTCACATATGCTATAGATAATAAAATTCCTACATTGAGCCCATATCAGTGGTCTCTCGTTGAAAAAATTATTCTACTTGTAAAACCATTCAAAGAAATTATTGTGGAAAGCCAGCAAACGGGAAGCCACTTCATCTTCAATAATTCCCACAATAGAGACACTGAAATTATTCTTATCAAAAGCAAAGATCAGTAGTTCCTTTAATGGCATTAATACCACAATAGAAAAACTAGAAAATCCAATAAAAAAAAGATTTTCAGCATATATAGAATACAAGTCTTTATGATTGTCATTTTTATTAAATTCAAAATGAAAATTCAAAAAGAAAGTATGGTAGAGGAAATCTCAATAAGATTTAAATTCTGAAGCTTCTACTTCTGGAGGTGAATTTCTAAGTTTTTATGATTCATTTGATGAATTAGCTTCTGGTAAACAAAAGAATGAAGAATAGCATGTTTTTAAAAAGAAAGAAAAAACGAAACGAACGAACGTTTCGATCAACAATTACAAACATATTGACATTTATCCCTTAAACAAAGACATAGTGACATATTTTTGTGGTGGAAAAGTTCAAAACAACTTTTTCCTAATTTGAACAAAATAGCTATGAAATATTTAAGTGCCTCAGCATCTTCCATTGAAAGTGAAAAAAATTTCAGCACTGGAGGTAACATTTATGAGCCGGCAAAAAATAGGTTATGCCCTGAAAATGATGAAATGCTCGTGTTTTTGCATTACAATTTAAGGGTTTTACAGTTAAAACAAATAAAAATTTAGTTTTTCTTCTTAAGCTATTCAATACTTTTCTTATGTAAAGTTTAAACTTTATATTTTACGTTATATTATACTTATAATATGTATCGATAAAAGGAATAATTTAATTAGTAAAATTTTTTTAATACAGTCGACCCCCTGTAACACGGGTTCCTATAGTTTGGATTCCTATATGACGGCGAAAAAATTGCAACAGTATCTGTATAAACATGGTAAAAAACTCCTATAATTCGGTAAAATGTTATCGGGCAGCCGAACTACTTTCCGCCATCCAGCGCCACGCTACGGAGAGTTTAGGCGGGTAAATTGATTTTACTATCGTCTGTACAGTATTATATATAAATTAGGTACTGTATATATAATTATAGATTAACTTAATTTAGTGTAACTTTATTATAATTATATATATACTTTCCGCTGTCCAGCGCCA